ACTTTATTCCTTCTGGCCTTATCACTTATTTTTGAGGCCTTCCTTCTACTTGCTAGTCAGGGCCTCTTTAAAATACATGTATATTTCCTTAACCAAATTTAAGCTAACTTTAATTCTTTAATTTTATACTTATCCTACACTTCTGAACAGTCAAGTTTTCCCACACTGCACCACGAAAAAAGGGGTAGAGCAGCCACATTTTGGGAGAGCGTTAGTAAGTCTGGGATATGGGTGGTTATACTTAGGCCCTCATAATGTAGTGTAGATGGTAGAGCCCCAGGCTGGGAGCCAGGGTTCAACAACTCCTAACCTGGGGTTACAAATGAGTACAGATGCTCAAGCCCTGGGTTAACAAACTCAGGAATTGCGAACTCCAATTCTTCTAACGTTGAGCTCACATTGCAGTGCAGCCATAGGGATTCCTAGGTGTAACTGCAACACAAATTATACCTATGCAACATTGGGCAAAGCATATCACCTCTCCGTACGTCAGTTTTCCATCTGTTAAATGGGGATTAAACCTAAGTGTAACACCTCTAAGTGAAAACAATAGTTTCTTTAAACAGCTTTGAGATCTTGAATGAAATGCATTATAGAAAGGCAGAGCATTACTAAACTCCCATATTAATAATACACATTAGGCAAAGTTAAAGACACATAAAATATTTTAAACCCAATTAGTCCTAAGGTCAAAGTTTAGCATTTCCCTACAACAGCAGACGTCAAACTCATTCCTATCACAGCATTATTTTTTTTTGCGCTATTTTAGGCGTCTGATGGCATTAACTGTTGCAGGTAAAATATCTGAACACCAAGTCAGGTTTTGGCAAATCAATCAATTTATTTGAAAAGATTTTATTTTGAAGTGTATTTGTATTTGATCCTTGTTAATTATTTAGGACTTTTTACAGACATTCCTAATAAGTTGGTTTTTTTGTTAGCTCTTAAAGAAGCCTGGACCTAAAGACAGTCAGATCATTACAGAATGTCTCAGTGAATAATGGGATGCATAAATAGAGGACTCTTGAAGAGCAGAGAGATTATTTTACATCTATATTTGGGACTGGTGCGACTGCTGCTTGAATACTGCATCCAGTTCTGATGCCCACAATTCAAGAAGAGGGTTCTGAGAAGAGCCACGAGAATGATTAAAGGATTAGAAAACATGCCTTACAGTGATTGAGCTCCTTGAGTCTATTTAGTTTAACAAAAAGGAGGATAAGGTGATTGAACAACCAATCTAGTAGAGAGATATAACACAATCTAATGACTGGAAGTTGAAACTAAAAAAATTAAGAAAAGAAATAAGACAAATTTTTGACAGTAAGGGTAATTAACCATGGAATAATTTACAATTTTTAAAAGATCTGCTCTAGGAATTGTTTTGGGGAAGTTCTATGGCCTGTGCTATGCAGATGATCACGCTTCCTTTTGGCCTTGGAATCTATAAATCTATGACTTAGTCCTTATGATTTGGCATCTTTCACGTTAGCGATAAATCCCATTTCCCCTCAGAGATACTGCAGTTCTGGTCCGACATGCAATAGGCTATATCTACACTACAAACCACTGATGGCGGTGTGTAGGATATGTTCAGTGAAATGCAAGCTGCATCCATACTCCAGTACATAGCTACATCTGTAAGTGAAAGGCTCCGGCAGAGAGTAAGCAGCAAGGAAAAGCTCCAGCAACTCCCCACTGCAGGAGAATCTCTCTGTGGCTAGGCATGACTCCAGCAACAGGAAAGCAGCAGGACACTACAGTGAGTGCTCCAGTGAGTAGGGTGCATACCTGGGTATACCCACAGGGTTCAAGGCATGTCTTTATTCTACTTGCCTAAGGAGTGCCTCACCATCTGCACTGCTATTTATACCCATGCTAGGTGGGCATGTAGTATATGTACTCTACACATTGCTGAAAGGAGTGTGAAGTGTAGACATACTTACAGACTTGCAGTGTTCACAAATCTCTCAATTTCCTTGAGAGAAACATGATTCTGACCTCTGCTGGAGCCAGTCTCACAATGATTTGAGAAACTCCTGCTGTCATACAAATTTCAGCCCTGCTTGAGGGGGTGGGGAGGAAGGGCACAACCCCTCTGATTGTCTGCTTTCCCTGCAAGTGGCAGGGAAATAGGGAAGGCAGCCAATCAGGAGGAGAGCTCTGCCTGCCAATCTCCAACCCCTCAGGAGCTCAGAGGAGTTTTTGGATAGGGGAAAGGGAACAGCTCTCACAGAAGGGGAGGAGGAAATAGGAAGAGCCCAGCAGCTCAGGGAAGCTGTGCTCCCTGTTCCCTTTCCCATCCTGAGAAAAGTGGGTTGCCTCCTCCCCATCTCTGTGACACCAGCCTGGGAAGTGGGAAGGAGGTAAATAACCCTTGGGAGAGGGGAGTACATAGAAGGCGCATAATTAATAGGTGGGGGGACAAACTTCATTAGAATTCTGGGGTTTGGGGAGAAGCTGAAAGCTCTGTACTATGAGGCAGCATTTTAAACATAAGTCTTTGTAATTTCATCTCAGTCCTCTGGGAGTGGGCAAAGTCACCTGACTCTCTAAATTTGGTAGAGTTGGCAATATTGACTGTCACACACACTGGTTGGGGGCAGGAGGAATACAAAACAACTAAGACTGGTAATATTGGATTCGTAGACCCAATTTATTTTAAAAATGTGTGAAATTACTCCTGATACACGACCCATGTTAAAATTTATTTCAGTACATATATTTCCAACAATATACTTACAATATCTTTAAGTGTTTCAGTCACTGTTAAGTTTGCATTTCCACCTTTTATGAGGATGGCATTTTTTGTATTTTCAGTGAGCTTGGGTTCTCTCTTCTCAAGAAACCTTTTGGCCCTCTTTGTTTTAGGCTTTCTACAATAAATTAATTACAAAATTAACTTGCACAAAACATATTAGACTATGCTTGAAACAATCACTGCTGGTTGATATTCAATCAATAAAACAAAAATATGAACAAGTACCATACAAAATAACCACAAAGGAGTTAATGAAAATGCTTTACTTGATTTGTAAGCATTCCCCCCCACCAAAAAAACCCTACTGAAATTGAAGGTAAAGTCTTGACCTTAAGTTTTAATTTCCTGAATTCTGCTGACTTGAAATTTAAGGTGTGGCAATATTTCCACATCTTTACTGAAGTCCTGATGGTTTCCCTTCACACCAAAACCCTGCATCATGGCCTCACATACTATGGCTCATGAGGACTAGAGAAGATCCCCTTAAGAACCCATCAATGGCAGCCTAAAGGCGAATTAAAAAGCCCAAGTTACGCTTGGCACTCCTCTGCTATTTCATGATGTATCATCATGTACAAATACTGAGTTAGAAGAAAAATTGCCAATGAACAATTGCTACCATGACCAACCTGAATTCGGGTCCTTAGAACACAATTAACAAGGGGGGGGGGCAAATTTTGGCCACATCTGGGGGGGAAATTGTATGCAGGGCCCTGACTGTAGGGCTTGGGCAAGAGGTTGGGCTTCAGAGGGAGTGCGGGGTATGGGAGGAGATGTGGTGTGCAGGAAGGGGCTCAGGGCAAGGGTTTGGGGTGCAGGAGGGGTGCAGGCTCCAACCCGGCACTGCTTACCTCGAACGGCTCCAGGGTGGCAGCGGTGCACAGCGGAGCTAAGGCAGGCTCCCTGCCTGCCTTGGCCCTGCACTGCTCCCAGTTCCTAGCCAATGGGAGGTGTGGGGGGTGATGCCTGCAGGTGAGGGCAGCGCACTGAGCCCTCTGGCCCCCTCCCCCAGGGACCACAGGGATGTGGTGCCGTCCGCTTCCGGGAGCGGCGCTTGGCCAGGGCAGGCAGGAAGCCCGCCTTAGCCCTGCAACGCCACGGGGCTGGCAATCCTGTGGGCTGGATTGAAAGTCCTGACTGGTCAGATCCGGCCCACAGGCCGTAGTTTGCCCTCCCCTACAATTAACCTCTATTAAGATAGATGTTCCATTTCAGTTTCACCAGTGACCACTGCACCACATTTATAGATTATCTGTGAACAAAATTTTTGCCTGCACCTAGACAAGAAGGATCTACTAAGCCTGAAGAGTTTGCTTCTGAAATGCTAAACAGGACCAGAAAGTAGGAGCCTACCTCTAGATCAGTGATACTCAGATCTCTGGTTCAGGAGCCAAATTAGTGACCAATATTACCCAAAAGAGCCACAGCAGTGTGTATTCATTGTTTCATTTACTATTTTTATATTATATATATTATTCTCACAGCAAAATGACTGACCAAGTATTCTACAATTGGTTAATGACATAGTAAAAACATCCTAATTCGTGAATAACTTAGATTGGTTAATAATTAAATCACAAAGTGTTTCAATATCACCCTGGTTGCAGTGGGGCGGGTTAGGGAGGTTATTTTGGAGGACGAACTGAAGCAAGAGAATCCCTGCTACAGCAAATCCCACAGCCACAAGGCCCTGCCCCAATAGAGCACCCTACAGAGCACTCCTCCTTCCTTCGCGTTTACACCTCTGGAGGCCCCGCGAAGGAGCCTCTCGTCCCCTCGCGGCTGGCTGGCCGCGGGCAGAGCCGGGGAGATAGGTGTTAATACTCCGTAAAGGAGCAGAATCGGTGCCACCCCTGGGGCAGCTGGACGGGGGAGGACGGGGCCCTGGGGGACGCTGTTCTTCTCCCCCCTGCGCTAGCTCGGGAGTCCAGCCCCTGGCCAGGGGCCCGCCTGGGGGCACAGCCCACTCCGCGGACAGCAACCCCCCCCCCCCGCACTGAGCTGCGCGGCCGCCGCGCGGGAGCCGGGGCCGCCGCCTAGAGCCAGAGGCGGGGGCGTGTGAGCAGCCGGCGCTATCAGGCCCTCCCAGCCCCGGAGCCGCCACTTACACCACCCGGTCCAGCGCCTCCATCTCGCCGGCAAGAGAGACTGACGCACCCCCCACACACACACACGTGCGTGCAGGACCCACAACGGACCAGTCCAGGGACGTCCCTTCACTGCGTCATGACATCACATCCGCCGTCAGAAATCCAAGCTTCGACGCAGAGGGACTGGGACTCGGGAGCCGCAGAGTGCGTGCGACTTTTCTGTTACTGAGCATGCGCAGTAGAAATTGCGGCGGTCACCGCCCTCAGATCGAAACAGGTAAAAGGAATTACCGTGGGGAAATGGCTACGGAGAGGCAGTAGGGGCAAAATTCTCAAAAATGAGAGGCTGGGTGGGGGATTGTGTTCCTGGCTGGCTGGCGTCTTTCCACTGCACCCCCTAGCCAGGGCAGTGGCAGTGCAGGCCAAGGTGGGGGAGGTAATATACTGTATTAGACCAGCTTCTGGGGGTGAAAGCAACAAGTTCCTGAGCTACCCCGGAGCTCTTCTTCCGGTTAGCTCGAACACTTGTCTCTCTCACCAACAGAAGTTGGTCCAATAAAAATATTGCCAAAGCCCCTTGTCTCTCTAATATCCTGGGACCAACAGGGCTACACCAACTAGGGTAACCAGTAAAAAGTAACAGAGGGTCCTGGGGCACCTTTAAGACTAACAGAAGTATAGGGAGCATAAACTTTCGTGGGTAAGAACCTCACTTCTTCAGATGCAAGAACCTCATGTCTTCACTTGCATCTGAAGAAGTGAGGTTCTTACCCACGAAAGCTTATGCTCCCACAGGACCCTCTGTTACTTTTTACAGATTCAGACTAACATGGCTACCCCTCTGATACTAGGGTAACCAGATGTCCCGATTTTATAGGGACACAGTGGCATAGCTAGGAGGAGGGAACAGGGGGAGCAATAAAAAAAAAAAGAGGCGCCACCTGCTGCGGCACTTTTACTCACGCGGCGGCGCTCCGGATCGGGTCTTCGGCAGCAGGCCCTTCACTCGCTCCGTGTTTCTTCAGCAGCACTGAAGGTCCTACCGCCAAAGACCCAGAGGGTCTGGGAGGCAGGAGCTGTGGGGGGCACTTTTGGGGGCCCTGCAGGCCCAGAGGATTAGCTTCCTGCAGCTCCCATTGGCCAGGAACGGCAAACCGTGGCCACTGAGTGGGAGCTGTGGGCAGCCATGCCTGTGGATGGTCATGTAAACCAACTGTCTCGCAGCCTGCCAGTGGATTACCCTGACGGGCCACGTGCGGCCCATGGGCCGCAGGTTGCCCACCACTGCCTTAGACTCTCCAGTCTATCTTGCCACCCAAACTGGACTTATAAAGTGATAAATGGTCACATACACAAAAATCACAAAATATTCAGGTTGCTTCGAGTCCCACAAGACCAGTCACTTACCCTAGATCAATTGGTACTCTAGGTCTCACACCAAAGAGACTCCTTTAGCCATCCTGTAATAAACTACCTAAAGATTTATTAACAAGGAAAAAGATATAAAAGGAGTTATTTAAAGGTTAAAGCAAGCAAACATATACGCAGAGTTATCTAAATCCTAAGAGTGACAGAGTTGTACTGAAGAGTCCTGTGGCACCTTATAGACTAACAGATGTATTGGAGCATAAGCTTTCGTGGGTTAATACCCACTTAGTCAGACGCAAGCTTATGCTCCAATACATCTGTTAGTCTATAAGATGCCACAGGACTCTTTGTTGCTTTTTACAGATCCAGACTAACACAGTTACCCCTCTGGTACTTGAGAGTTGTACTGATCTGTCAATTCAAAATGTCTTTCAGGGTAGATCCAGGAGGCAGCCCCTGAGGCTCTCTGGCCCTTCAGAGTTCAAACAGTCAAAAAGATGGAAAATTTTCCCGTGGCTTTATTTTATTTCCTTCATTCAGTTTCCAAGCCCACAGGCTGAGCTTCCTTGCAGGTAACATTTTCCAGGTGCATTAGGGCCATTAATCAATCCTTAGTATTGTGAGGTTCCTTAATGGCCCACCTG